CCCCCCCCCCCGGCTTGGCTGCTGGGATGGGGTGGTGCTCCTATGCTTTGCAGTGCTGGAGAGAGTTGGGGCGGGGTCTGCTTCCTGCTTCCACCTTTCAGGGTGGGGGAGAAATGAGAGACCCCTGCTTTGTTTCTTCCCTGCCCTGTGATGTCTGTCCTTTGGATATCCCGCTGCTGCTTCTTCTGTTGCCTTAAGTCCCCCAAGACTGAGCTTTGGCTTTCCTGTGTTTGCCAAAGAGGGCGTTTCAATGTAGCTTCTACTCTTCTGTCCAGATTTGTTGGCAGATTCAAATCCCGTAAGGAGCGCGAGGCGGAACTGGGAGCTAAAGCAAAGGAGTTCACCAATGTCTACATTAAGAACTTTGGGGATGACATGGATGATGAAAGGCTGAAGGAACTCTTCAGCAAATATGGTAAATATTCCAACATCTGTTCCTTAATATAAAGTAGTCATTTTGAAGCCATCATTGCTGGCCTCTGAAGGTCATCTGTTCCTTAATATAAAGTAGTCATTTTTGAAGCCATCGTTGCCGGCCTCTGAAGGTTTTTTTTTTAAAGAAACAAAGAGGTTGTTGTTGTGGGGTTTTCGGGCTCTTTGGCCACGTTCTGAAGGTTGTCTTTCCTAACGTTTGCCAGTCTCTGTGGCTGGCATCTTCAGAGGACAGGAGTCAGAACTTCTTCCTTCCTTCCTTTTCGTAACAGGAAAGACCCTCAGCGTAAAGGTCATGACAGACCCGACTGGGAAGTCCAAAGGTTTCGGCTTTGTGAGCTTTGAGAAGCATGAAGAAGCGAACAAGGTTTGAAAATCCAGGTTATGATGGGTTGCGTCACTGTGGTTTCCAGCAATCCTAGGTTGCTTCACCGTGGTTTCTAGACTGGCAAAACTGCATGGGTAATTTGTTCGTTCTGGCCTGCTAGCTGTGCTTCTGAATTGCAGAGAAACGGGGTCTTCTGTGGCATGGGAGAGGGTGTGCTTGGGGTTGAGATCCAGCACTGGCTCCCACATTGTTATCCCAAGTATTCTTGCCAGCATTAATGAAGAATTTGTGGGTCATTTGCACTTCCTTATGTTTCTGTACAGACTGAGATGATAACTTGATTCAAGGATGAACTGAGAGGCCCTGGGTTGTGGCCGAGCAGGAGAGGGATTTGTTATTTGAGGGACTTGTTACAAATAACAAGTTACCTGTAATTGATTTCTTTTTGCAGTAATTAAGCTGCAACTAAATTACGCTGTGGTTGTAAGATGGTGTGAGAGAATGTTATTCTGTGGTTAAGTAATTTATTTTAGTTTTTTAGCAAAAAAAAGAGACACAAAATATAGGGGCATCTTAAAGACTAGCTGCTGTACTTTAATGTTAACTTGTTTTGTTTCTAGTCTGCTAACTTCTTTTAATACATTTAATAGTGAACTTTATAGTTACAGGTGCTGCTTGGCCCTCACCTTGATGGGTGTGTTTTGTACCACAGGCAGATTAATTGTAGCACTCTGATTTTTTTTAACAGTATCACCGGAAGCAGAGAGCTAACTTTTTCAAATGTACCTCTAGTGGTAACTGATTTCTAGTGAATAACTAAGGAGGAATCAAGAAGGTATTGGGCTAATTACTCATTTCAAAGCCCGATTATAACTCTTGGTTTTGCCAGGAGTTGCTGACACGGTAAATCCACCTTTTTTTGGAGTGGGGTGGTTAGTCTAGAACTGACTGTGGCGTCAGTGGAAATGCTTGTCGCTTGTGTGGTATCTTTGAAGCATTTGCAGCTTTAAACTCCCTTGCAGGCAGTAGAAGAAATGAATGGGAAGGACATCAATGGGAAAATTGTGTTTGTGGGTCGTGCACAGAAGAAAGTGGAACGGCAGGCAGAACTGAAGCGCAAATTTGAACAGCTGAAGCAGGAAAGAATCAGCCGATATCAGGTAGAAGGAAAGCATATGGTTTTGTACATTTGAGGGGTGCTACCTTTTGTGGTGGGAGATTTGCTTTAAATAACTTTGTGCTGGGAAAGCAGCAGGAGAAGAGGACAATCAAACATGAGATAGGCCAATTCCGTGAAGGAAGCCACAGGCTTGAGCTTGCCAGAGCTCAGCAAGACTGTTGAAGAGATTGGCCTTGTGGAGATTGGCCATTCATAGGGTTGCCATAAGTCAGAGGTGACTTGACAGCACATAACAAGAAGATCCTTGATGGGGTTCTGATGTTAACTTGCACTCAGTCATGTCAGGTTGGAAAAATGACTGGAGAAGCGTGACAGGAGACTGAACGCTTCTACGCCATTCTTACTGTGAGAAATTTCGGTTCCAAATGAATTCCAAAAACGGGCAGCATATGCGCTCTGTCTGTAGGTTGAGGTTGAAGCAGCGCTCCGGCCTTGGGGGAGCGGGCCGAGGGGACGTGCATCGGAATCTTTCCTGGTCCTTGCTGTGAGGTGCAGGCCCAGGGACACAGGATGCTAAAGAAACGCTGAGCAAATCCAGGCAGGTTTTATGTTCCTCTATGCAAGACTTGTCTCTACGCCTCTGCAACATGATATCGGTGGAAGCATTGGTCTGTGGAAAATGAAAAGAGGTTCCTGATTTGTAAAAAAATCATTGGTCCTTGCCTCTTCCTTACGGACCAGAGAGATTGACGCCCATTGCATTTCCTTTGTGGTTAATTCTTGCCACTGTTGGCTTTGTTGCTGTCTCCCGTTGATATATTTTCTCTCTTCACAGGGTGTTAACTTGTATATAAAGAACCTGGATGACACCATTGATGATGAGAAACTGAGGAAAGAATTCTCTCCTTTTGGGTCTATCACAAGCACCAAGGTGAAAAACTGTGGATGGCATTCGAATGGTCTCGAGGAGGGGTCTGTAGCTGGAGGTTCTTCCAGAGTAGAAGCTGTTGAGGAATCAGACCAAATTGGGAAGGGGGGGGCTCTTTAATATATTCCGCCAAGAGTTCCTGAATTGAGTGGGAGGCATGTGCAGAATCAGGGCACAAAACCTATTGTGTGCATGCGGTGAGCTGAAACCTCATGGATGGGAAGGGGCAGAGAATGGCGCATGGCTTTGTCATTTCTCAGACCTCCAGCTGGAGAAATGTACCTGTCATTGCTGATGGGGGTGTTGCCCTTGAATCTTTCCCATGCCTTGCAGAACAATGCAGGCTTGGGAACATGTAGTGGTAAAGTGAAGCAGGAGCAATGCAGAAAAGTTGACTTCCCCCACTGGGGGCTCTTCTCTACACCTTTGCAAGACTGAGGAGCTTCTCTAGGGTAGCTGCCTGAGCAGAATATGCACCACCACCACTGTGTGAACCAGAAGAGTCAAGCAAAAGGGGAAGGGAGAGAGGTGGGCATCTGGCATAAGTCGGTGCTTATGGGTTTTCCCCCTTGCTTATAGAGTTAATTAGGCAGAAGAGTAATTGGAGCAAAAGTCCTTGGTCCATGCGGATTTAGGAGGTAAGAGGGTTGAGGGTGTGGGGGTTTTGGACCAGTGCCTACCAAGAGGAGGGTGGTGCAGCTATGCCCTGCTTGTAGTAAGTCAACTATACCCTTGGCCACACACAAAACCAAACAGAAACAGTGGTGACTCTGAGCAGTTAACCCATTTTGGGGTCAAAGCTATGTGTTCTCTGAGATCACCCCTACGAGGTGTTTCCTAGGTCAGGCCAGCACGGCCAGTCCAGAGAAGAAAGGAACTGCCGTGTGTTTTTCTAAAGCCCTGCCTTTTCTCAGGTGATGCTGGAAGAGGGACGAAGCAAAGGCTTCGGCTTTGTCTGCTTCTCCTCCCCGGAGGAAGCCACCAAAGCCGTAACGGAAATGAACGGGCGCATCGTGGGCTCCAAGCCGCTCTACGTTGCCTTGGCCCAGAGGAAGGAGGAGCGGAAGGCCCACCTCACCAACCAGTACATGCAGCGCATTGCCGGGATGAGGGCCCTGCCAGCCAACGCAATCCTCAACCAGTTCCAGCCAGCCGCTGGAGGGTATTTCATGCCTGCTGTGCCCCAGGTGGGTCCCCACAGGAAGGGTGTTATGCCAATCCACAGGGGGAGAGAGGGACCTGGCACACAGCCTCCTTCCTTCCGGAAAGCTTGCTTGCCCTCGGGAAGCTCGTGTACAGCACTTGGGGCAAATATTATGGGGAAGAAACCAGCCGCTTTCCTGTTGTTTCCCCTGGCCTAAAAACCTCACCTTTAAACCTTCACACAAGGGTGGAAGGCTAAACGTGCTAGAACAACTGGCCTATTGTTGGGTGATATGAAGTTAACATAACAAACATTTCAAGCACTGGTTCTGAAAGCTTAAAAGTGGTAGCCATCCTTGTTGAGTTACCCTAGAAAGGCCTTTTCTCTCCCTCTCCTCTCCTCTCCCCCCCAGGCTTTCCCCCTTGCGAAGGGAAGCGTGAGCCAGGGGAATAGAAGCCTGGTGCAGAGCCATCTGGCAGGGGGACTGATTTTTTGCGTCTCGGTTCCTGACCCCTCTGTTTTTCAGGCTCAGAGCAGACCCACTTACTATGCACCCAATCAGATGACGCAGATGAGACCCAACCCGCGCTGGCAACAAGGGGGAAGACCTCAAGGTGAGCGTGATGGAAGAGCTTTGCCCTGACCGGCAGAGGCCTCCCTTGCCCTCCTCTTCATCCGTCTTCAGAGGAGGGGAGACTGGGAGCTTCCACCCTCCTCGTGGAACCTAATCAGTTGTGCTTGTGCTCCTCTCTCCACCCCCCAACCCGTCTCTCTGTCAGGTTTTCAAGGTATGCCGAACACCATGCGCCAGTCTGGGCCACGGCCGGCATTGCGCCACCTGGCTCCGGCGAATAATGCTCAGGCCTCACGTGGCTTGCCTGGGGCCACCCAAAGGATCGGTAAGTGTCTGCAGCCTGAGGGTTTCCTACCGGTTCAGGAAGGGTCACGAGGTCCTGCTCACATGGCCTTGAAAATCACTAAGAGAGATAAGTTTTGACCAGTGACTTTTTTAGACGGCACAGCCTTTTCGTACTTAAAGCAGTTGTTGGAAAAAGAAAGACAGTGACAAAAGTGAGGCTGAAGAAGGCTGTTAATTTTTGGTGTTAACAGATTCGAAAGGAGACCTTGGCCTAAATCCCAGTTTCGGTCCCCCCCAGCAGAAAAGAACCCTTGTAAAGTAAAAACCTGTTAGGTGACACCAGTATAAATCCCGCTGATCTCAGTGATTCTTGCTCCAAGCTCCGTGTAAGTCGCTGTTTAATTTTGCTCCGTCGCTTTGATTCTTTCTAATTTGTGTTATTTTTTTTCAACAGGGGTGGGTGCCGTCGCGCCGAACTTAGCACCACGCCCGCCGGTGGCTGCCCAGGCTCCGAGGGCAGTCCCCCCCTACAAATACGCCTCAAGTGTCCGTAGCCCACACCCAGCAGTACAGCCATTACAGGTAACGCAAGGCCTTGGCACAACAGGACCAACATTTACCTGCGGTTGCTGGACCTATCACCTCTATTTCTTTCAAACATGAAGTGGTCCTAGTTTTTGTTTCAGTTCTTAGAAATGTAGGAGCCAAGTTAATATCGGGCAGAAGCAGGGCTGTATCCCCTCACTTGCATGGTTCAGAATTGCTTTTGTGAAACAAGCAGTCTCCATTCCTCTTCACCAGTTGTACTAACGGCCCAGTTCTTTATTCTGCCCTAGGCCCCTCAGCCTGCTGTCCATGTTCAGGGACAGGAGCCTTTGACTGCCTCCATGCTAGCTGCTGCTCCTCCCCAAGAGCAAAAGCAGATGCTGGGTAAGCTGTCCTTTCTCGTCCTTGGGAGAGGTTGGGGCTCAGAGTCGTCTGCGTTCAGCAGTCACAATCAAGATGACTGTGTCACATCCTATTGTTTAAAACACTAAATGAATCAACTCTGTCAAAGAACTGCACACTTCCAACGCATGGTAAAGAGATTATGGACCTAGATGGGTGTCAATCTGTTCTTCCCAACTACAATTTTCCAGGGAGTTGGAATAAAAAGGCCTCTTATCCGCCCACTTTTGATTTCTTCCTTTGCTGAGAACCTGCATGAATTTCAAAAATCCCACTGCATTTAATATTGTGACTCGGGCGCCCCTTCAACTTTGTGTTGTTCTTGTGCCAGAGTCCTTTAATAGCGTGGTCTTAATGCGGCTGAATTCTACATAAGTGGCGCAAAAGTCTTAAGATAGTTGTGGCCTTTGGTGATGGGATAAGAGCCTTAGCCTGTAGCCTCTCAACTGGCTTAAATGTGTGCTTCCTTAGGAGAACGTTTGTTCCCGTTGATCCAAGCTATGCACCTCAGCCTTGCGGGAAAGATCACAGGAATGCTGCTTGAGATTGACAACTCTGAGTTGCTGCACATGCTGGAGTCTCCGGAATCTCTCCGCTCCAAGGTAACGAACGGTGCGCCCGCTTGCGGTGCATCGCTGCCAGCGGTGAAAGTGGGACCCCTTTGTCTTGACCTGGCTGGGAGTGACAGCAGGCCTCCCTTCTTCCCATCCCAGGTGGAGGAGGCGGTGGCAGTGCTGCAGGCGCACCAAGCCAAGAAAGAAGCGGCCCAGAAAGTGGGCATAGTTGCTGCTACCTCCTAAACCAGAGATGCAGGTGAGTGTGCCAGCCTGAGCAGCATATTGTGTATGCAGGTGAGTGTGCCAGCCTGAGCAGCCTATTGTGTATGTGTGAGAGAGAGAGAGGGAGGGAGGGAGGTTTACATCTGCACTGTTTCCCAAGAGGTCCCGGCTCCTAATCTCATAGCCACTGGATATTTTTGTTGTATTAAAAAAAAAGCTGCCTGAAAAATAGCAAGCATAATTTAGTTCCAGGGTGGCGTCCCTTATCAGCATAACAAGTCTATACCTATGTTATACAAAAGAATGAACGTTCCTTGAGAATACCTCATTTCCATCAATTAATAAATAATAACATGCTGTCAAGTCAGTTCTGACTTATGACTACCCTTCCCGGGGTTTTTCAAATAGAGTAGTGAGAAAGTGGTTTCCCATTCTGTTTTTATGGGGGTGCCCTGGGATGACCGTGCAGCTTGCCCAAGGCCACACAGGCTGGCTCTTCTCCTAGGAGGCCCAGTGGGGGAATTGAACCCTCAGCCTCTGGTTCCACAACCAAATACGTAAACCACTGAGCTTATCTGTGACAAATTCCTTCTTTTTCTTACAGTCCAGGTATCTGATTTAGGGGTGAGGGGCAAGACAATTCTAAAATGTCCATTCTTCTTGGCTCTAGTAAGAGCTGGAACTGTACTGTATGACAATCAGATGCTTGAGAGGATGTTCTGAAACTGAATCTGCACTCTTTTCTTTTTTACAGATGGTCAACAGCCAAATGCCCTCCTCTCTGAAGGAAACCATCTGTGCTCTAGAAATAACTTTGTCCTGCACATTTCAGCACATCTCATTGACAATGTTCTGTGTACATATTCTGTCTACAATATGCCTTATTTGCAGAGAAGCAAAAAACCTTTGTCTGTTTGCTCTTCACAATTTAAATATGCAACCTTTTTTTCCACCACACAAAAAAGCAGTTATTCACTTTGTGTTTCCATAAGCAGGACATTGACATTTCATCTGCTGTTCTTGATTTTCTTTCAACAAGCCTGTTTGCAGAAGCTTTTATCAATAAAGGAATGAAAGCATTT